GCATCCACATTTTTTTAACATCTGGGCATTTTTTAGCTCTTTACATACAAATATAAGAAAGCACCACCATCTCAAATACAGTGTTTCTCAATTGGGAGGAAGCATATAATGTACAAACTGAAAGAAATCCTACCCATCCCCACTACATTTTAAGTGGGCTGAATATTTATGTTAGGAATCTTATATGGCTTAGCAAAACAGTCTCCAGTAACTCCCTTAGAAATGGCTTTTGCAGTTAATGTGTCCAGAAGAAACAGGTTGGACTTTTACATATTTATGATGGTATTCCATTATCTGTTTGAGAAAGTTTTATTAATTTTCTGTAACTGGAGTCTAAAGTCATCCTAAGATTAAGATCAAGAAAAGTTCAGCTGTTTAGATCATTGCTGTCAGAATAGCAAGATGAGCCCTCTGAGGGTATAGAGATAGACTTCCATTCACCAGTGCAGACAGACAAACACATTGGCAGGAACGGGCCCACTTTCCCATAGTTGCATCCAGAATCGGTGATCATAGGGCTACACCCAGATCATTTGGCCTGGAACCTCTAGGCAACCATGGCTCTTGTGCCTCGTAATTTGGTGGAAAAGGAAGACTTGCCCAATGTGCTAGTTTGTGTTGTCTCCAGGGATTTTTCACTTCCTGTGTATCTAGATCTTCTTTTTATTTTACTTAAACTAGAAGAGTTACTCTCCCTTAGAGTAAAATTATTCATTGTGTTTGAATCCTATTTCCACTAGTCTTTTAAGGACTTTATCTTGTTTTTTTCTGTTTTTGTTTTTGTTTTTTATTAACTTTTGATTTTAATTATTCTCATTGGTTTTATCTCTGTTAAAATTACAATAAAAAATCACATTATTGTCCACCATAAATCTCTTTTAGATTGCGACCCAATCTTATTTTCAGGGTAATAAAAAGTTGTTGATAATGTGTCAAATTGATAGGCCCCACAGACAATGTAGTATGTACGCTTTGTTCTGTCCATATGCTAAGAATGTTTTTATTTTTTTACAAAAAGAGTATCTCCTGAATGTTCTATCCCAATTCCAATTTAGGGCCTATTCTAAAGCCCTCTTCTCTCTTTACAGTCTATGTGTGTTGTATTTGATATGTGCATATCTTCACTAGCAGCTTTTACGTAGTTGGCTCACAAACTTGTATCTAACCCAAATCTCTTCTTATTCCAGACCTGTGTATCCAGCAGCTTTATCTTTATGTGCTCAGCGTAGTAAAAGCAAAATTTAGGATCATCTCCAAAGTTGATACTCTTTCAATAAATAGTGTAATCGTCCAATGAAAAATGTTAGTCAGAAACTTGAAAGTCACCCCTAAGTCATTCTTTTTCCTTACTCCAGAACTAATCTAGGAACTTTTAATATATTTTAACCATGTAATGTCTTCTGCTTCATCTCTACCAGTTAATCCTCCTATGTACTTCATCTCTTGCTTGAATTACTAATTAACTAGCACCCCTAGATTCCCTTTTTATACTCTAGTCCGCTTTGTGCATTATAGCCAAAATGTTGGTTTTGAAATATAACTAATTACCTCATGCCCTGCTTCAAACACAGTAATATCTTCCCAGGTTCTTAAAGTAAAATTTCTTTAATTTGATCC